TGTTTTCTCTGGCGATACGACTGTCGCAATCGCCGTCACTGTTATGTAGATGACCTGCCAAATTGCTTCTTAATGGCCCTTAATGATTCTTAATTATGGGGTGACGATCTCTGACATGTCGCTTGGAAAGTTGGAGTTATACAATTTCGCTTATCTGAACTGCGTTCCAATTTTCCCTTTTCGATGGTTATTAAAGTTTATTTCGTTGGCGTTTACATATCTTGCGCAACGGTACTTGGTGTCTAATCGAAAGACGTGTAGTTTTATTTCATTTTATTGTGGAAAATGTATTAGCGTTGAGAGGGCGTAACATTTACAAAATATATTTTCATTATAAAAATTTTTATCCACGACTATTGTATAATGTACCCATTATACGTCTGTTTGCTCGACCTTAATAATACCCATTAATCACGGCAGTGATTAATGAGTCATTAATCACTACTGTCAGATGCTTCCTTAATTTAGCTATAATATTATATTGTTCTGCTACAAACAATCCGTTTTTAAAATTTTATCGTGTAAACCACTAAATATTTTCAATTCAGTGCTGTACATATAAAAAAAAAAATAAAAAAGTGAATTTTCCTAGACCGGATTCGAACCCGGGACCCGCGGTTGGAAGGGAAAGAGCATCTACACTGAGCCATCAGCGACTTCATTTGTGCGAGTCGTATATCTGTTTCTTAACATACCATGTTTTTCGAAACATTTCAAAAAAAACTTCAACAAAAATATTTAGTAGTGGATAAAGTATAGTATTCTACTCCCGTATAATGGGTATTATTCACTCGGTGATTTAGGCCACTCGCCTGCGGCTCCCGTCCGTAAACTTCACCTCGTGAATAATACCCATCATTATACGGTCGTTGAATAATATACTATTATTTCTGACCGGGATATTATAAGCTTATATCGTCATAGTTACGCTATCAATAAAGAGAGTCATAACTCCCTTGGGACATTATAGATTCTATAATTCCCTCTACCTTTCACAAGCAAAAATAAAATAAAAAATGCTAATATACATATATGTATATATTTATGAAATGGTATACGGCTTCACTTTTCGATGGAATTAATGATTCTCTTGCTTTTTCAGCTTTTTTCAAAATCTGCTCCATTATATTTGGGGTAGAAAACACGTTTTTAACGCAAACACAGCTTGATAACAAAGTTCTGTTTATAAACAAATAACAATTCTGTTTATAAACACGTAACATAGCAACAACCTAGCAACAACAAAACTCTTATAATTAATGGTACCTGATTGAAATATACTGGGAAGGTAATAAATTGGTACAATTTTTCCGTTTTAAAAATAAACAATATTTTATTAAAATCGGTCAGAAATAAAATTATCTATGTACCACGGGAATTAATGAGCCTTAATAACCTCGGGCAATTGCTGTCCCTCGGGACGCAAACTTTGCCATCGGTAATTAAGGCCCTTATAATTCCCTAAATACATAAATAACTATTAAATCAGTTTCCTAAAGTTGTACGCGTGGTATACATATCTTCGTGCGCGTCGAATGTACGTACCCATCTATGTATACATATAATATGATCGAGTTAAAAGTGAAAGTCTGTAGGTATTTCTTAATGAGTGACTACGTGAATTTTTGCTCGTTTTTTATTTTATTAAATTTTGCTTTCTGACGTCCATGACCCTTTATTGAGCATTTTTACAAAACGTGTTTGCTTTAATTAGTTCAAGATTAAAGTCGTAATGAAAATTAAAAGTTTGTATTTGCCATTTGTACGTCGCTGAAACGTAATAATAATTCTGATATTTATATTTTCTTCGTATTTCAAAATCTTTACATTGTAACGAAGTAAAAATGAGCAAACTCTAGACGGGCAATTGTTTACTTTAGCAAATGGATACCTAAGTATTTATTTCACTCACGGTTTCTTGAGCACGTTGTAACGATTTGTTAAAGCGCTCATTTTTTTTATTCCGCGAAAAACAGTGGGTTTTATTTTTTCTTTGTAGCATTTTTTATTTCTTATCCAAATACAGTGTAATTCACTTCATATTAATCGAGTCATAACTTCCTTCACAAGGGAGACAGAGAAAATGTTTTGATTATTTTTTAAATCTGTAAAAATAAAATGAGAATAAATTAATGTAAAAGTAGGCGATGGAGTAATATTTTGTTAATAAAATTATAGGAAATAAGGGAAACCTCTATTTAATTTCAAAAACTATTGGGGCATAAGTTTCTAATGAAATTTTACATTTTCAATCTTCGGTTTTATATATTTATTGATTTGTTTATGCACTGGAAAGAATATCACGTGGTACTATGTGACATACTGAACTAGACTGCTTAAATGCTTAATATAAAACATTGCAATTGATACTGCGCATAAAGAAGCGACATGGCAAGAATGGACGATTGATATCGGACTGTTTCGTATTGATTCGTGTGTACGTATACAGGGCGAGGGGCGATCCGCTAAGGAAAAAACGTACGAAGATTACAAAATTTCTGAAATCTTTTGTGATGTGTCTGCAGATTTCAATATCGATTAAAAAAAAATTACAAATTTCATATAAATAATCAAGATTACAATATCTTTCAACCGATTACAAAACATTTCAGGAGATTTCAGAGTTATTTTAGTAGATTTCAATGATTATTTAAGATTTCAATAGGATTATTCGAAATTAAAAGAAGATTTCAAAATTTCTTAATAATATTTCAAGGAATACGGGAAGATTACAATAAGTTTTGAATGTCCATTTGAACAAAAATAATTGAATTAACTTCAACTGTCATTCATTTCATTCATTAACAGTAGTGCTTTGATTAAGAATTTCCAGTATCATTTTTACGCAAAAATTGTAACATTCTGATTAAGTTTTTGTTCGAATGAACGTTAAAAACTTTTTGTCATGACAAAAATGATAACGCCATTTTGAAAGTAGGTAAGTATATATTTTTATTGAAAGATAAAAATATAATAATCCAATAAACTAATAAAAATAAAAAAATAGAAGTAACATAAAATAAACATTTTCCCAAAAAATAAATAATAAGAAATATTTTAAGCTTTTATTAACACTTGTATTTAATACTTTACCTGTATACAGTGTATTTAAAAAAGACGCGGCAATATTTAAGGGGGCGATTGCCCAGATCATTTTATAAAAAAAAGTTCCTATAAACATACGTCCGCAAACGCTTCGTTACCGATCTACAGAATGTTGAAATTTCATTAAAAAAACAGTAAAAATTAAATTTCTCCAAAACCTCTTGATATTATAATGAAATTTTAGGCCTGTCAATAGCTATGGCAGACGCGTACTTTGCAATACAAAACGATTTTTTAGTCTTACCAGTGACTAGCTATTTTTAATGAAAAAAATAGGACCCCGCTGGTTTTTCTAAAAATATAATTTTTTAATTCCTTGTTCAATTATGAAGAAGAAAGCTTTCCTCAGATTATACGCACCGTACGTCACACCGTTATTGAGTAAAAAAATAAAAAACATTTTATTGCGCACCTAAACCCAATGTTGTTTTAATTGAGAAATTTAAATTATTGAACAAAGAAATTCAAATTATCAAATTTGATTGATTTTTGAAATGTGGTACATACTGTTGTTTGTAGTAGGTAATAATAAGGGGCTGCGTTTTAGAGAAATTTAATTTTTACTGTTTTTTAATGAAATTTCACATTCTGTAGATCGGTAACGAAGCGTTTGCGGACCTATGTTTATAGGACTTTTTTTATAAACTGACCTGAGCAATCACTCCCTTAAATATTGCCGCGTCTTTTTTAAACACACTGTATACAAGTAAAGTATTAAATGCAAGTATTAATAAAAGCTTAATATATTTTTTATTTATTAGTTTTTGGGAAAATACTTACCTACTTTCAAAATAGCATTATCATTTTTGTCATGACAAAATGTTTTTAACGTTCATTCGAACAAAAAACTTAATCAGAATGTTACAATTTTTGCCCAAAAAATGCCTGATACTGGAAATTCTTAATCAAAGTACTACTGTTAATGAATGAAATGAATGACATTTGAAGTTAATTCAATTATTTTTGTTCAAATGGACATTCAAAACTTATTGTAATCTTCCCGTATTCCTTGAAACCTTATTAAGAAATTTTGAAATATTCTTTTAATTTCTAATAATCCTATTGAAATCTTAAGTAATCATTGAAATCTACTAAAATAACTCTGAAATCTCCTGAAATGTGTTGTAATCTTGATTATTTATATGAAATTTGTAATATTTTTTGAATTGATATTGAAATCTGCAGATACATTACAAGAGATTTCAGAAATTTTGTAATCTTCGTCTGTTTTTTCCTTGGCGGATTGCCCTTCGGAACACACCAATCGCACCATATAGGTTTCTGTCGAGGTTTCTGTGGCATTCTTTGGAAAATGAAGAAGGGGGGGAGGGGGGCGTTGTACAACGACTACATCGACGAAATTCATTAGCTGATTACATAGATTACAGCGAGGATTACAGATAAGATTACGTAGATTACAGATAGATTACATAGATTACAGATAAGATTACGTAGATTACATAAAGATTCCAGGGCAAACGTACGAAGATTACATCAGCGGATCGCCCCTCGATACAGGGTGTGGCGTGTATAATCTATAAAATTTAAACTACAGCTTCCTAACGATATTTGTAATAAAAAAGTCTTATACGAAAAAGTTCTATCTTTGCGTTTTTTTTTTCGTGAATAATTTAAGTTCAATTATGGATCAAAATATTTTCACTGGAACGGTCCTGTCCGTGTGCTGTACGATGAGTTACGTGCTGATAGAGATACTTCTCAATTTTTGGGGAATTTTTCAACGTAAAAGTACAAACTAAGAAAAATAGATATCACACCCTCTATTCCTGTTGTATTTCAAGCCGTTATTTTAGATACGAATACGAATATCGTCTGTAACCTTTAAAGATAGTTTAAAAATTGACCTCCATGGCTATTACATAACAAAATTCGCATTTTACAATAAAAGCAACAAATATATTTTTGATAATATTAATTTTTTCTAATTTCTGGTAATAAATACATTGAATATACGTATATAGGTATGTAGAAACCGCCACTGGTTACGGCTGGAAACGCACTGTTTACACTCCTAAAATTCGTCGTGTCTCAACCACCAGTCCTCGATGACCATCTCTCCCGCTTTGTGTCCGATCATCAGCGAGGGCGCGTTGGTATTCACGCTGACAATTTCGGGCATGACGCTGGCGTCAACCACCCGCAGATTCTTCACCCCATGTACCTTGAGTCTGGGGTCGACGACGGCGGTGGCGTCCCCCTCGGGACCCATCTTGCATGTGCCGACGTGGTGGTACATCGTGGACGTCAGATGTTTGATCATGCACCTCCAGTAGGCGTCAGATCTGAATTCGAGATCTTCACATCCGGATACCCGCACGTTTATCATTTTTGGATTGTACTTCGACAGAGCTTCGGTGTCTAGCAGCCTTTCTATGTACCTGTGAAAAATTATTAACTTTGTGATGTTTCATTACGAGTTTAGCATTGTATTTCCGCATATTTTACAAAAAAAAAAAAAAAACAGTTTAGCCCACTAGTCCAGAGCAGATCTGTTTTGAGGTGGATGTGAGAAGGGGCAAGCAAATTTTTTCTGGATTACCTTCAGTACAACTCACATAATAAAAGTGTAGATCCCTAGATCTGGGCGAGGTCCGGAACATATTCAAAATTGCAAAAATGTTTTTAAATAATACCTATTTTATCTGAGTTTATTTACTTATATCTTGGAACCTATACATTTTGGATGAATATTGAAGAGGAAAAAGTTTTACAATTTAACATATAAGTTAAAAATGTTTAAATTTATTACCGCAAAATAGCAATAATTGATGAAAAAAAGGTAAAAATTTTTTGGATAATTTTTTAAAAATATTTTAATTGCCCCAAGGACATTCTAATTTTGGTAAAAAAAAACTTTAGAGTATAATAAAACAGCACACCGAATTTCATTAAAAACGGTTCAATAGTTTTCGCAAAATAATTTTTTGACATAATTTTCGAATTTTCAAAATGGTGCAAAATTTGTTCACATAGAAAAGACCGCTCAACCTTCCAAATGGTTTTTGAAAAATTGAAATCGGTTGATTAGGACGGCGACAGTAAATTTTTAAAGTTACCACTCTTTTTTTAATTTTTAAACAATTAGATTACATTTATCGATTTGCAATTTATTTTTTTTTTTCAAAAATTATAATTTTAAAGTACTATTTTGAAATGGTTTTTGAAAAATTGAAATCGGTTGATTAGGACGGCGACAGTAAATTTTTAAAGTTAACACTCTTTTTTTAATTTTTATACAATTAGATTACATTTATCGATTTGCAATTTATTTTTTTTTCAAAAATTATAATTTTAAAGTACTATTTTGTCTAAATTTTACCTCTAATTAACAAAAAAATAATTTCCAAATAATTTTTTTTTAATTTGTTTAAATAAAAGTTATTTAAATAATAATTGTCATAATTGTAACTAAATACATTCATATTCAGAGCGTTGAAATACATATGTAAACGAATTTTTTCATTGAAAAAATGCATTAGCATAGGGTAAAATATACAGCAGGTATATTTAATGCATAAATAATAAACTTTGTTTATAACAAAATATGTGCAAATTAGACAGTTGGCATTACGATATTCGAATTCCTTGGCTCGCGAGACATCGGATTAAAAAAAAGATCGAAATTGGTCCATTAGAAGCCGAGATAATGCAATTTTTTTCGTACCTTCGCATTTTGAACCTCCGAATTCAGTCTCGGAGCGAAAGCCCCCTCCCCCACTTTTCGTGTTTTGAGTCACTTTTCGCGCGTGCGAGCGACAGCTTTTCCGTTGATTTATCTATGTTGCCGATAACTTATGGATATGAAAATTTTTTCCAGCTTAGAACTCGGAAAAACGAAGCCACTGGATCAAAGATTATTGCTAAATTGTTTATAAATTAACAGTAAATGCTGATAAACTTTGACCGCTTATATCTCGAGAACCAATAAACGGAATTTAACTTTTTTTTAAAATAAGCGTCGTTTCGAGTATCTTAAAATTATAATTTTTGAAAAAACTAAATTGCAAATTGATAAATGTAATCTAATTGTTTAAAAATAAAAAAAGAGTTTTAATTTTAAAAATTTACTGTGCCGTCTTAATTAATCGATTTCAATTTTTCAAAAACCATTTGAAAGGTTGAGCGGTCTTTTCTATTAAAATATTAAAAAAAAAATTATCCAATAAAGTTTTATTTTGCGTTTATTTCATCAATTATTGTTATTTTGCAACATCGGTAATAAATTTAAACATTTTTAACTTACAGTATATTGTGCAAAATTCAATTCTAAAACTTTTTTTCCTTTTCAATATTATTCCAATTTGTATAGGTTTCAAGATATAAGTAAAAAACTCAGATAAAATGCTACTTTTAAAAATTTTTTTAAACATTTTTGCAATTTTGAAAATATTTGAAAATTTGCTTGCCCCCTCTTACATCCAAGAAGTGGGGTTTTCGACAGATTGGCCCTAGTCTATTATGATTCTGGTTTTTACAATGCCATAATAAAAATTTGTACTAAAAAACGTGTGTAAAATTGTGTTAGAATATTGACTGACTACAAATTTGATGAGAAATTAGTCTACAGAAAATAAAAGGACAATAAACACGTAAATTTGTCCCTTTCTAAATTTTTTAAAATGTAAATTTTAATAGAAACCGAGTGAGTTGCAAATTTGGTCAGGACATAGCTAATACAATGCGAAACATCACCTTAATGTTAAAAATGTTTCGTGTTTTGAGTCACTTTTTCTCGCGTGCGAGCGACAGCTTTTCCGCTGATTTACCTATGTTGCCGATAACTTATGGATATGAAAATTTTTCCCAGGTTAGAACTCGGAAAAACCAAGCCACAAGATCAAAGATTATTGCTAAATTATCTATAAATTAACGGTAAATGCCGATAAACACTGACCGCTTATGTCTTGAGAACCAATACACTGAATTTAACTTTTTTTTTTAAAAAAAGAAGCGTCTTTCCGAGTACTTTAAAATTATAATTTTTGAAAAAACTAAATTGCAAATTGATAAATGTAATTTAATTGTTTAAAAATAGAAAAAAAGAGTGCTAACTTAAAAACTTACTGTGGCCCTCCTAATCAACCGATTTCAATTTTTCAAAAACCGTTTGAAAGGTTGAGCGGTCTTTTCTATGTGAAAAAATTTTGCAACATTTTGAAAATTCAAAAATTATATTTCAAAATTTTTTTCAAATAATTATTTAGCGAAAACTATCGAACCGATTTTAATGAAATTTGGTGTGTTGTTTTATTATACTCTTAAATGATATATGATCGCATTACAAACGTAAAGGTGTTGTTCACCTGCCTATTTGACCGGAAATCAATTTCATCGCTACTTATTTTTGACTAACCTTTAAAAAAATAAAGGACGTTTATCTCAAAAAAGTTTTTCGATTGTAGTTTTTTAAATCAATGGTCAATTGTTTTTCTGATTGTATATTCCGATTCTGCGGTTTTTTTTATTCCATTCAAATATGCTGATAGCAAAAAAGTAAGTCGTCTTGTAAAAATATAATATCGGAAAATAATAGTAATTCTGAATTTGGTATGGAGCATATGGTTTAATCAATCTTGCTGCTCTTCTATTGGGACATTGGTCACTTTGAGACGCTTCGTTTTTTGGTACAAATTAGTCAATTCTGTTATAATTTTGACATTCGTGCATATGAAAATGTGAAACGATAGGGATTATATGTAGAGCAATACGGGTATCCCCAATTGTACACGTCAAACTTTACCAGATGATTAAATATCTCAAAATAAGATAAAAGTTAATATAAACATAGGTCGTAGAACGTTTATAAAAATTGGGATAATTCGCTGAGTTCGATGAATCCCAAAATATCAACCCACTGAATATTTTGGTAATTGGATTAATACCTATAATTCGAGATGGTAAGAAAAAATTATATACACGTACATATGAAATTTTTTTCTTAAAATATTTTACTCGATCACCTGCTGAAGTTACCTGTTTAAATTCTATACCACTTTGTAATGCGTCGATAGAAGAAGAAACCATGAAATTTCATAATGGATATCACAAAGTAGTATAATTTTACTGGTACGTGTTTTCATACCTTATTCCCTCAAGGGTCAGTTCCAGATCCTCATCGTCTTCATCCGTGAAATACCCCGAGTAAATAAGCGGTTTCTCCATGGGATCCACACTCTTCAACAATACCTTTCCCCTAGACTTGGGTTTGAGCACTATGGGATAAATGCTCATCCTCGGCGTCTCGAAACCGACTTCCAAAAAACTCTTAGCGGTGACTTCTTCTACGTTAAAAGATCTTAGCATCTCCCCGATAAGATAACGGTCGTTCGGCTTAAAACCCACGTGCAAAAACTGAACGTTCGGACGATCCGCATCGCCTCTGGTGTTGATAAAGCCCAGCAGGTTGGTTACGAAGATCTCAGAAATGTCCCCGGTTCTGTGCATGAAATAATTGTACACGTCGTCAATGACGGGTCTTTGCGCGGCGACGGCGCTTTTGTCCAAAGTGAAATAATTGCCTATGAACATGGTGTGGTCTTGTAAGTTCTCCCCTACCGGCAAATCTTTGATCACGGGTATTCCCAGACTGTCCAGGTGAGCTTTTGGACCTATTCCGGACAGCATCAGCAGCTGGGGGGAGTTTATGACACCTCCCGATAAGATAACCTCCCTTTCAGCGTAAACTTTCAATGTTTTATCCCCCACTTTGACCTGAACACCTCTGGCTGTCTTAGTGTCTTCGTCGATAAGTACCCTTGTCACGAAGGAGTTCACGGCGACGTGCAAATTTTTCCTGTCCTTTACTTTTCCTAGAAAAGCCTTAGCTGAGTTCATCCTAGTCCCTTGCTCGGTGATGGACAGCGTCTCCAGGTAGCCGAGAAGCTTTAGGGAGTCTTCTTCTTGCATCGTGGGGTAGCCTAATTCCTTAGCTCCCTCTTTCACCGATTCCTTCATAGGTTGTCCTGAAAAACAGGGATTTTTTAGCTAGTTTTTTCTCTTTTTTTTTTAAATTTAATTAACCTGAGTCGTACCAAGAGAGCGTCTGGAAACCATCCCGGCCGTACTGCGTGCTGTTAACTAAATGAGGCACCTGCAAATTCTCCAAGGCCTTGAAATGCGGCAGCACGCTATCCCAGTCCCACCCTGGGTTCCCCATTTCCATCCATCGGTCGTAGTCCTTCTTGTGTCCTCTCAGATAGATCATGGCATTGATACTGCTGCAGCCCCCCAGCAGTTTTCCCCTTGGCCAGTTGCATCTCCTGTCCTTGAAGCCTAAACAGGAGGTGTCCGAGGGCTCGGTTTGGTATTGGTAGTCTTCGTGGCTGCCCTGGAGGCTGAAAAGCATCGCCGGCACCTGGGATATAGGTTACGTATAGAGAATTTGGGCCCATTTTCCATGCAAACAACTGTATTATATTAAAACTGTACTAGTTAAGAGTGGAGTTTTAAGTGTTTTTTAATCAAGGTAAGCTTTAATTGCTTTGCTCGAAATGTGCAAGTAAACAAATAAATGCTACTACCATATATTATTTGTAGAGTGTATATCAATGGCATAATGAGACCCTGGGCAAATTCTAATTTGGAAACCTACTGTTTCGATACGACTTTTTTTGTTTCCTAAGCTTTAAAAACCTGTATTAGAAAAGCCCTACGAATATCTAAAACAAATATCTGCCTTACGTCGCTGGTGGCAGATGGATATCCTCCAGCTTCGAGCACCAGAACCTTCCACTTCCCATTTTCTGTCAGTCTGTTGGCCAGAACTGAACCTGCCGTTCCGCCGCCGACTATTATAAAGTCGAATTTTTCGTTCTCGCTCAGCTTAGGGCCGTAGTCTTCCGGGTAACTGTCGGGAGATCCTAAGGGACACTTGGCGGCCATCAATGCATTGATCAGAGTCAAAAATAGGTGCGCCGGAGATCCCTGGACGTTGTTGGGGCAGGGGTCGGCTATTCCGAGGGCCGGATCCATTGGTAGCTGAAATCCGAACGAATTTTATCGAAAGGACTGATTTTATTCATAAAAATTTACACAAAGTCGGCCTCGAGTTGATGGTGGCCTTCTTAAGCTGAATATATCCTAAGGCGAACTGTCGATGTCGCTGACCTGCGAATTGTAAATAATCATATGGTAAAATAAGTAAAAAATAATTGCGAATAACATTAAATGTACCGTCCTTCATATCTAGTGTAATTACAATATTTTCGCCCATAACATGTTATTATTAGTTGTATATTGCTACTTTTAATTACATTTTAAAATCTTTATAAAATATTTAACATCAACGTTCAATGTCCAACATCTAGTAGGTACTTAGATTTGATGATAATGCAAATATTTTCTGTTTAAATTCTTAATTTTAGCTGTGGTGTTAAAAAAAGAAACGGAACCTATCATATTGTTAAAGTAAACTATAATTTTCAAATATGCAATTGAAAAGAAAAAAGAAAAAAGGTTGTTTGTAAACTTGTGATAGGTGGAATGTAATTCAGAATCGTTAAATTTGCAAAACAGAGCTTTAAATTAATAATAATCATAATAATTGTTAAAACTTACATAGGACTAGGTACATAAAACGAGATGGATTCTGTGGTCGTACAGAAAAATTGCTGGTTCAATTTTTGTATAGTAGTTTAGTTCAATCGACAGTATCGATGTCAAAGAGAAGTTTTTGGGCTTATTGTGCAATTTTTTTTATTAATTATTAATTTATATCTCGATTTATGTAATATTTAGAAATCATCTCGAATTTTGTAAGCACCCTGTACACTGCTATGAAATTGTAGTAATGAATGTGTGAATTCACTTACTCTTTGGTTTGGCGTATCGCGGTGATCAGTTGGTTCCAATATCACACACTTTTCCGAGCATCAAAGATAGTCCTTCTTTGGGCACTAGCACGATTTAAATGGTCGATACCGACACGGAATTTAATTTAAAATGTATTCTGCCTGTGAAACGGGTTGGTTCGGAGCTTGGAGTTTACTGATGTCTCATCAAGGTGAGTGACGGCAGTACGCCTTGAATTCAAGATGTCCAGAGCACTTTGCACACGAAAATAAAGCTAAAGCGACTTTAGTCTTACCGGCATTGAAACGCAAATCCGTTGTTTTAAAATAAACGGAAATGTGTTGGAAATTAACTGACCTTTCACTTATTATTCCCTTTTTAAATCGTACATAACAAATTTACCGGAGTGTATTGAATGTCTTTATTCATGTATGTATAATGTATACAGTGTATCCCACCGGGAATCGTCGCGATCGATATCTGGAAAAGTACTTATTCGAAAAATTTAAAAATTTGGCAACTTATCAAAGTCAGTGGGTGCAATACAACTAAAATATTTTCAAGGTCATAGTACTTCCGGTTATACCGGAAGTCGATGCTATCTTCGTTATTTTAAATGGAACACCCTATATATTTTTGCATTTTTGGATTCTACTTGAAATTCTAAGGTCACGTTGTATAACAAACCTAGTTCCTAAAGTTTGTAGTTTTTGAGATATTGACATTTTTATGAAAAATTTGACAGATGCAAGGGTTGTGCGAGGTCCTCTGTATTTTATTCCAGCAATTAGATATCAATTTGAGATTCGGTATGTGAGTAGTACACGTATGGAACAATCTTCCAGAATATCCATCAATTATAAAATATGATACCGAGTGTTTAATTTTCGACTGTACATTTTGATAACTTCAAAGAGTTATATCTTTGTTAACTTAAATGGAACACCCCGTATTTTTTTGGCCTATCTTGTGCAGAAATTAATTATCTTTCACGTGATGTAGGCATTGTAGGGACTGTTGTTACTAATTTTAGAGATAATTGCAATTTTTTACTTTATCTTCAATTTTCACATTAACTTAACTTTATCAAAGGGCCTATGGGTAGGAACAATCGTTATTGACAATCAAACTATCAAACAACAATAAGTTGTCAAATAATAGTGTATAGTAAAGAAGCAATTATTACACAATATACCTGGCCAGCGTTTAAATTTTAGTAATGAGGATTATTTTAATTTATTTATTATTTACGGACAATGTAACAAAGTAATATCAAGAACATGTGATACATTTGCAGTACGATATCCAGACAAGGTAAAGCCCTCGCGAAGTACAGTAAAGCGTCTGGTAGAAAATTTTAGAAATTTCGGATCTGTAGTAATAAAACCGGATAGAAGAAAACCTGTTGTGGATAATGAAAATGTCGAAATTGCAATATTAGGTTACTTTAGAGCATTTCCAACTATGTCAATTAAGCAAGCGGCACTGGAATCTGGTCTCGCCAAAAGTTCGATTCATAGAATTCTTCATAAACATAAATTTCACCCATATTCTTTACATATGGTGCAAAAATTAAACGAAGCAGACTTTTTAAAACGGATTCAGTTTTGTGAGTTTATGTTGATGAGATACCAAGATGACATTTCCTTTTTGGACAATATTATATGGAGTGATGAATCCAAGTTTACAAAAAATGGATTATTTAATAGACATAATTCGCATTACTGGTGTGACACAAATCCGCATGTAACTCGGGAACGAAATTTCCAAAATAGTTGGCAATTTAATGTTTACTGTGCCATAAGAAATAATGAAGTCGTGGCACTAGAATTTTATGATAATAATTTAAATAGTAAGTAAAAGAATGTGATAAAATTAATTAAAACTTAGTAATAATATTTTATTGTAGGTGAAAGGTATCTGCATATCTTACAAAATCTTGATAACAACTATTTAGAAAATTTGAATTTAGAAGAACACAGGAAGTTATTTTATCAACATGATGGCGCACCTCCACATAATGGTTATATAGTTAACAATTTTCTTCAGCAGAGTTTCTACGATCAGTGAATTGCAAATAATGAATCTTTCTTGTGGCCTCCTCGTTCGCCAGATTTATCTATTTTAGACTATTTTGTTTGGGGAACTATAAAGTCCAAAGTCTACGAAGCTCCACTAACTACAAAGGAAGACTGCATTCAGAGGGTCAGAGATGCGTTCCAAAATCCTATCTCCACTGTTAATTAGACGAGCTACTCATGAAGGATTCATTCATAGATGTGAGAAATGCTTGGAAGTTGCAGGCCGGAATTTTGAACATTTATTGCATTAGAAATTTATCTAGTACCGATTCTATTTTGTCTTTAGTTTCAACTAGTTTTTTTTTAATGTGACTTTCCCATAATGTTACAGGAGTTCTTTGCAACGTCACTGTATAACCTGTAGAACCAAATACCAAATGTGTTTAACAAAATCATTATCCACAACAGGTATTCATCTATCTGATTTTACTATGATAGAGCCGAAATTTCAGAAAAATTCTACTAGACGTTTTGATATACATACTCCGCTTTAGCGGTTTACTTGGCCTGGATATCGCGCTGCAAATGTATCACGTTCTTGATATTGCTTTGTTACATTGTCCGTAAAAATAATAAACAAATTAAAATAATTCTCATTACTAAAATTTTACTACACACTTTGACAACTCGTTGTTTAATAGCTTGCTTGTCAATAACGATTGCTCCTACTCATAGACCCCTTGGTAAAATTAAGTTAACTTGAAAAATTGAAAAATAAAAGTAAAAATTGCAATTATCTCTAAGATTAGTAACCACAGCCCCTACAATGTCTACATCACGTGAAAGATAATTAATTTCTGCACAAGATAGGTCAAAAAATACAGGGTGTTCCATTTAAGTTAACAAAGTTAGAACTCTTTGAAGTTATCAAAATGTATAGTCGAAAATTAAACACTCGGTATCATATTTTCTAATTTATGGATATTTTGGAAGTTTGTTCCATACGTGTTCTACTCACATACCGAATCTCAAATTGATATCTAATTGCTGGAATAAAATACAGAGGCGCTCGCACAACCCTTGCACCTGTCAAATTTTTCATAAAAATGTCAATATCTCAAAAACTACAAATTTTAGGAACTAGGTTTGTTATACAAAGTGACCTTAGAATTTCAAGTAGAATCCAAAAATGCATTTAAAATAACGAAGATGGCGCCGACTTCCGGTATAACCGGAAGTGCTATGACCTTGTAAATATTTTAGTTGTGTTTCCCTCACCAATTTTAATAACTTGCCATATTTTCAAATTTTTCAAATAAGTACATTTCGAGATATCGATGGCGGCGATTCCCGGTAGGATACACTGTATATATGTTTAAAAAAAAAATATCAGAAGGGCGTACAAAATTGTAAAAAGTGTAAAAATACAAAGAAAAGTAAAAAAGAAGCTAAGCCAACGCAACTCTTTCCGAAAAAATCCGTTTTTGTTTCATTTTAGCCTTGTTTGAGGTGATATTGAAAAAAGAAGAACACTTTTTGCCTTCTATCGAATGGCTTAATCAATTTTTATGTGTAACGTTTCTTCTCTCCAGGACCATTATCAACTTCATTTTTTTAGATACGACCCTAGAAATTTTATTACATTTTTGCAAGCTTTCATGATCCCTAATTAAAATAAAAAATTATTAAAGTTTTATTCCCGTGTCCCATAGTCATTTCTGGGCTTCTCAAGTGCTGAAGATTCAAACAAATTCCGATCTATTTTTTTCAGGATATTCATACAAATATATCTGACATTCTCTTCCACAGTTGCGGTTACAGATATAATAAATTCCGATATATGATCTTCATTTTCAGTCTTTGCCAAAACGAAAATGTTTTTGAACATTTACTGAAATTGTTTAAAGAATTATATTCAGTTGACGTTTTGGTTGTTCATATGCATTTTTAAGAATTAATTTGTCATAATAAAATTAAAATTGTAATGTTTTAATTTTGACGTAACAACTTATTGAGTTATGTATGACCAAGTGATGGTAATAGTTAATAATAATATATGTGTTATTGTAACGCGTGGTGGTAATAGTTTAAATAACTAGATGGATTTCACAGGGTCCAACGACACTTACAGTGTACGATAATTCAATAAACCAAGAAATCTAAATAAAAAATTTAGATAAATTTGGAACGAATACACCGAAGATTAATTTTTCGAGACAAAACGTCTGAATTTGGTTCGGGCTGAGGCAGTACAATATTGGGGATCACGAAGGCTTGCAAAAAATGTAATAAAATTTCTAGGGTCGTATTTAAAAAAATGAAGTTGATGATGGTCCTGGAGAGACGAAACGTTACATTTAAAAATTGATTATGTCATTCGATAGAGGGCAAAAAGTGGCCATGGGAAAGTGTTCTTCTTTTTCAGTATCACCTCAAACAAAGCTGAAATGAAAACGGATTTCTAAATTTCAAATATTTCGAAAACTAATCGTGTTAGTCTTTTAGAGGCATAATGTTGGTCCCCTGATTACGCAACTTTGCCCCCATTTAAACTACTTTGTACCTCTTACCGTTTCCGAGACCCGTGTAGTGAGAAGCGAATTTGTAAAGCATTTACCCCATTGGATTTCTTAAAAATTTTCGTTAACCGTTTTAAAGTTGAAAAACTTTGGACTATTGTCGGAGGGAGGGTATACAATAAGTTATTGTTAATAAATAGCTGCAACATCAATTATTCCCTATTTTAAAATACTTCCATTCAGTTTTAAGTTTTAAGTGGTTTGTAACTGAATATTCCTTTTCAGTTAATTTGAAAATTTCTTAAAGAAAGTTTTCTTTTAGTTTTTAAATCAATCTAATGTATCTAAAAACAAAAAAGTTATTGGGGGGGGGGAATCACCCTGTACATCATTGGATCTTTATAGTACATTTATGTGGGATATAAAAACCGCCACATTTTAGATATGTTAATGTAATTTTATTAAAAAATAGCGTTATAGTTGTTAGACATACTCGTATATTAAAAAAAAACTAAAAAGCTGTTAACTGCAATAATAAGCGGGTATAAAAATCTAAGTAGGTACGTAATAGAATTCCTAATATTGTACATATGTAGTATTCTATAAATGTTATAGTTTTTATTATCTTCTGTCACGAAGAGTTATTTGGTATGATGACATTTCTATTACCAATAGTCCATATCTCTTTTCGGTGGAGTTTTTTCCATAACTCGCACAGGCTTCTCCACAACTTTGGGTGGTTTCTTCTCAACGGGACCAT